AATTATAAATACAGATACAATTATAAATGTAATTATATTTTTAATTATGATTAATTTTATAATTATTATTATTGTAATTTTAATTATAATATTTATTTCTATAGTCATAATTATGTCTATAATTACTAATTTAAATATATAATTACTCCGAAGTAATAATAATTACAACAATAACAACAAGAACAACAATCATATTAATAATAATGATGATTATAATTATAATTACATTGTAAATCATAATTATAATTATAATTATAAATATATTATATTATATTATATTATATTATATTATATTATATTATATTATATTATATTATATTATATTATATTATATTATATTATATTATATTATATTATATTATATTATATTATATTATATTATATTATATTATATTATATTATATTATATTATATTATATTATATTATATTATATTATATTATATTATATTATATTATATTATATTATATTATATTATATTATATTATATTATATTATATTATATTATATTATGTTATGTTATTATAATATAATAATAATTTTATATTATTAACATTATTATTATATTATTATTAATAATATTATTATATTAATATATTAATATTATTAACAATAACTATAATATAATAATCATAATTAATATAATAATAAAATTGATAAATCATGTTTGAATTTTTTGACCTGATCTGATCTGAATGTTTCTGATCTCGTCTGATCTGGTCTGAATCTTTCTGATCTGATCTGAATGTTGCTGATCTGATCTGAATCTTTCTGATCTGATCTGAATGTTTCTGATCTGATCTGATCTGATCTGAATCTTTCTGATCTGATCTGATCTGATCTGAATCTTTCTGATCTGATCTGATCTGATCTGAATAAAATAAGATTAAGGAATAAGTAATAAGATTAAAACGAACGGAACAACTTCTTAGTGGACTTCATAAATTTCTAAAGATTTAGCGTGATTGAAGGAAAAGAAGTAATTGAATCACATTCCAAAGTTGCAAAATATCACTCACTATGTCACCTACCATGTCCATCTTATTAACGTTTCGAACAAATTAAATACTTTGTATGAAAAGAAATTTTAGGAATCCAGACCTGAAAAATAGGCACATTATCAACAAAAACTCCTTTAGATACAATGTGTTGATATACGATTGACTCTAGTTTTTTTGGCTTGCTGGAAGGACCAAGCAAACTCAAATTGTCCAAATAAACAATCAAATCACTATACCTGAATCCTTTCCGATATTTGGGTCGAATTATTTATTACCCAGAATGCTAATGACGGACTACTTTATTTATAAAAAACAAACAAATTTGTCCAAATTGAACACTTCTTTTAAAAAGAACTAGCGACTAGTGTGTAGAGGTATGATATCTCTTATGTATAGAGAAAGTTACTACCTCCAGACCATTTTATGTGTCTCACTTTGATATGTCACGATTATTAATGAAGTGGTTGAAAAAATAAAAGTTGTGGTTGAGGTTTGAGTATAGTAAAGTGAAATCGTGTAAGCCACATGTTTCTTTGAAAGAAGACATTTATTTTGGAACAATCCAAAAAGAAAAGTAGGACATGTAAAATGAGACGGAGGAAGTACTATTTTTAAAAGCCCAAATTTATGAAATTACTTTTGCTATCTCTTCTCACATCATTACTTTGTGACCCTTAAATCCCTTAATGCATGTTTCACTTTAACCAAAAGTTAAAAAAAGCCATATATTCATTTATGATTCTATCTTCACTAGAGTTCTACCTAGAAAATTCCCTCATCTCGATCACATCAATACTTTGAATTGTGCTCCAAATTTATGCCCCTTTAACTAAAAATAAAAGTGCTTTTTGTAACTCTATATATCGAATATTATTTTGCAAGTAGACTTTTGCTTGGGGGTTCATCCTCCCACCTTCTCCATAATCACTTAATTTTAATCGGACGGCACTTCGAACTCTCAGTGAGACTTTTTTACTAAACCAAAGTTAACTATTACTTTGTATTATTTATATCATAGTTCAAATAAATGCACTATAATTGGGACAAGAGTTCCAAACTAAGCTATGACACATAGCAACGGTTGACCCAGCCAATCTATGGGACACCCGATTCACTATACCAAGAGTTTTGTCACTTTTCATTCCCTGATTATTCTATCAATGAGACTCGTGATACCAGACTTTTGATTTTTTCATTTTTAGTTTTTAACTATGATGTCAGGAACACTTTTAGTTCTCGAATTCAAAGATTCCCACATTTAGTCTCCTGGGTATTATCAAATTGATGCTTTTAGGCATTTCGTTATGATTTTGACACAATAAGTGAAAGATTAAAAATGTCACTATTATGATAGTTGAAGGACCAAAAATGTCACTTTTATGAAAGTCGAAGGATTAAATATGAAAATCTTTGAATACGAGTACCAAAAGTGTCTATAGCACAATAGTCAAAGACTGAAACTGAAAAAAATCAAAGTCGTATTAAAAGCGCCAGTGACATAATACTCGGACTAAAAGTGACAAAAACTCACATGAAAAAGGTAATGTTAGCAAAACTTGTTGATATGTCCCTAATATCATCCAAAACCATGAGCCTGAGGGAAGACTCGATCAATTCCAACAAAATGCACATAACAAGCTTCAGTGCATCAGCCTCCACTGAGTACCGTCTTACTCAAAGAATTTTAAAAGCCTGTAATGTCTGATACGGAGTAGTATTTTTAACAAAGTTTTTTTTAAAACAAATTTCATTCTGTGAACCCCGGTAATTGGTTGGTTAATAGACACCGTTTTGACTTAGTAACGTAACATTTGTGTGCGCGATGAGATCAACGTAATTTGTATGGAAAAACAATTGTATGTTTGATGTAATAACATCCTCTCATATAGCCAAAATATCTTGTGCTCTGATAACATCATTACTGATCTCCCAATGAGGAGGTCGCAGGTTCGAGTCTCATCTCAATCAAGGATGTTGGCATTAACATGAGCAGATACTATAGTAGGTTTAGAAGAATGTTCCGAAAAAACATCCATCTCATATGTATAAGCACGTCTTTAAGGAAGCTGTCTAATTTACTGGTCGTCGACTCGCTCTCTCACAATGAAGGTCTTGAGTTTGAAATTCTGCAGTTTTTGTCCTCTATACCCCGAGTCCCCCACTCCCCCTACCTCGACCCTCTTCGTAAAACAAATAGACATATCTTCATAAATTATTTGAAATAAGACTAAAAGCAATGTGATTTTTCTATACTAAAAGTAATGTGAAATTTCTAGGAGTACTAGCTGGTGCCTGGTGGGCGTATCTCAACCGATAGATAGGGAGTGTCACAAAGGTAAGTTTCGGGTTTGAATTCTGCCAACTCGAGTAGGGATTGCTATGTCAAAATGCATAGGGACTCTATAAGTACCTGAACTAGATTCCCACTTGCTATCTGTCTGTTCAGTGCTGAGGGACCTCAGGGATGTAGTATCATATTTTTTATTCAAACTGTGATTACTATGCTAATCTCCCATAAATATGAATAATTGTTGTCATACGTATAAACTACCGTCAATTAATGTATGATAATGTCAAAATGTTGTTAGATGATTACTATGCTAATCTCCCATAAATATGAATAATTGTTGTCATACGATATAATCTACCGTCAATTAATGTATGATAATGTCAAAATGTTGTTAAATGATATTATAACGGTAGTAACTTAGTCCCACTTAAAAAAATATGGTACTCCTATTTTGAAATTTCACATTCTTTTTTGTTTGGAGAAACCTCCCTTATATTTTACATTAGTCTTAATTTCCACAAATGTGAAGTTTGCATTTAATTTGACATGGAATCCTTATTTAGGTTGTTTTTACTTGGACTGTAATTCGTCCCAGACCAGACCAGACCAGACCAGACCAGACCAGACCAGACCAGACCAAAACAGACCAGACCAGACCAGACCAGACTAAAACAGACCAGACCAGACCAGACCAGACCAGACCAGACCAGACCAGACCAGACCAGACAATATTTTATTATTATTATTATTATTATTATTATTATTATTATTATTATTATTATTATTATTATTATTATTATTATTATTATTATTATTATTATTATTATTATTATTATTATTATTATTATTATTATTATTATTATTATTATTATTATTATTATTATTATTATTATTATTATTATTATTATTATTATTATTATTATTATTATTATTATTATTATTATTATTATTATTATTATTATTATTATTATTATTATTATTATTATTATTATTATTATTATTATTATTATTATTATTATTATTATTATTATTATTATTATTATTATTATTATTATTATTATTATTATTATTATTATTATTATTATTATTATTATTATTATTATTATTATTATTATTATTATTATTATTATTATTATTATTATTATTATTATTATTATTATTATTATTATTATTATTATTATTATTATTATTATTATTATTATTATTATTATTATTATTATTATTATTATTATTATTATTATTATTATTATTATTATTATTATTATTATTATTATTATTATTATTATTATTATTATTATTATTATTATTATTTTTATTATTATTATTATTATTATTATTAGTAGTAGTAGTAGTATTAGGATGTTTTTACTTGGACTGTAATTTGCTGGTCTGGTCTAGTCTGGTCTGGTCTGGTTTGTTTTGGTCTGGTTTGGTCTGATTTGGTTTTGAGCCGGATGAACCGGTTCGGTTCCGGTTTTGAACCGGATAAACCGATTCGGTTCCGGGTAAAAACTGGAATACATCCGGTCCGATTTGGTACGGTCCGGTCCAGTTTTGAACCGGTGCGCACCCCTAATAACAATAACAATAACAATAACAATAACAATAACAATAACAATAACAATAACAATAACAATAACAATAACAATAACAATAACAATAACAATAACAATAACAATAACAATAACAATAAAAAAATGTATGAATAATGGGTAAACTATAAATCTTTTTAGAACAAAAAAAAGTACTATAAAATAATAAATATCATCATGCATGCGTTGCTCTGGGTTTCTGAACGTCTTCCCAAATTTGTTTCGCAATTTCCACGCGAACATTGTTCATAGCTTCTTTTCGCCCATTGTTGAACATATTTGAATCAACCATGCCTTCTCCATTCCCTTCATGTTCATAAATTGGGATTCCCATTTTGCACATGCTGATAAAATTATGAAGTGTAAAAGTAGAGAAAATAATTGCTTGTTGATGCTCTTCTTTCATTTTGGGCATATTGTGAAGTATCTTCCACCTTTTCTTCAGATGCGAAAATGCTCTTTCAATGGTAGTTCTCAGGGATGAGTGGCGATAATTAAAATGTTCCATTACTCCTCTTGGTTTACCACCGCCACGAAATTCTGGCACGTGTTTCCTCATTCCCGCATCATCAAATGGAGCTAAATATCCAAGTGTGTTTGGATATCCTGAATCTACTAAGTAATATTTACCTACATTTTAAATTGACTTTGTTAAAATGATACTATTTTATATTTACATAAACACATTATAATAAATTTATTTGTATTTTATACCTGGTGGGGGATGAGGAAAATGATATTTTGATTGCATTAAGGAATCAACCCACACTCTTACGTCATGAGCGCTTCCTTCCCAGCCAATATTGACAAACGTGAATAGTTTATCAAATGAACAACATGCTAAGACATTCCAGGTTTTGCTTCCTCTGCGTCCTCGAAACGGCACCCCCTTTGCATCTGATATAACTGCTTCTATGTGAGTACCATCTAATGCTCCAACTGAATCCTAATACAATAAATAAAAAGCATAAATAAAGTCTAACACATATACAAAAATAAATTATTTTTCATTGACTTTTAAGAAACGATGAATAATTCATAAATATACCTTGAAATACGGCCAATATAAGGAACTGTTGAAAACTATGGTGTGGACGTCCAACAAATTGTGATGTGGTCGAATTATGTCAAAAGATAACTCAACCAAGGCATGCAATACTAGATTAAAATATTTGCATATGGTTCTCAAAGAATGCTTAAAAACATCAGCTGCATCTGTGTAAGAAGCTCCCTTGGCCAATATATAGAGACCAATTCCAATTTGCTCTGCCACATGAATGAATCTGCTGTCTTTCAATAAATTTCTTTCAACCATAATATTCACAAGGTGGATGAACATTTCTCTCGTCAACCTTAATTGCTCTTTACACAATCCAGGATGACCATTCAACATTCTATGTATATATTCACCTCCTGTTTCTCCACCTACTCTCATTGGTATCCTAGTCTTCTTTTGTTCATCATCTTCTAGTAATGATCTGAGCTCTTCTAATGCAATAATTAGACATGACCGTCTAACTTCAACATTCATTCTACACAAGTAAAATAATGAATTCCAATTCACATTAAAACAAATGGTAAACACATGTCATATCAACGATAACACGAGATGTTTGTAAAAGATAATGTATTCCAATCATATTTAGTATTCCCTTTTGCTTTTTCTTCAGCACAAATCTTCAAAAATGTAGAGCCCGTTTGGAGAACTCTGTTTTCGGCTTATCAGGCTTATCAGCCAGCTTTTTCACCAAACATGTAACTTTTACTTCCGCGCACTGATTTGTGTAATAAGCCGAAAAAGTAAGGTTGGAGTTACTTTTCTGGCTGTATTGGCTGAAGTTACTGTAGAGGACCATTTTAGCTATTTTTACATATAATTTTTTATTTAATTTATTAATTAAATATAATTTTAAAATATTTTTTTCTTAAATCAGCAGAATCAGCCAAAACAGCCACTCCAGCCAGAATATCATAAATTTCAGCAGAATCAGCCAAAACAGCCGATTTTGATGCTACCAAACGGGCTCGTAGTTGTAGTGGTGTCATTCCAAGGTGTCCTCTTTGACATTGTCTATAATTGATAGTAAAATAATACATAATTATAACTAAATTGTATATAACTTCGAATTGAAACCCACAATCAATAATTAATGGTAAATTAATTAGAAAATTATTATTTTCATAAATTTATATATTGACTGATAAATAATAACGAAAGGTAATGAACTTAAAACAAATAATTAATTAATATTGACAATATTAATTTGTGTAAAAGGAAATAGTATTAAATAATAACACTTTTTCTAAAAATCATAGTTTTCAATAATAAATAATGAACTAACGCATGAGATCTAATTCAAACCGGCGCTCATGCGAGACCTTTTCCTTCTACTTGAACATCCGTATCCTTTAATTTAATTCTAGACATGTATATGACTGTATATTGATATATATAATTATATATTATATATAACTATAAAACTTAAATAAAAATACTAAAACACTTAAGCCAGACGATGTGACGAGAAGAGAGCAGAATCACCTGCTAAGTCGTCTGCTTCCTGGAGTTGCTGGGGTTCGTCTGCGGCAACTCTTCTACGGCCAATTGCAATAATTTATATATACGAGTATACTGGGCCAATTGCCTAATTTTATCTTTTGTCCTGTTTTTATTTGGATTAGTCTAGTGTACACTGATATGATCTGGTCTAGTTTGAGTTGTTCTGTATTTTTATAATCTGGTCTGATCTGCTTCGGTCTGGGATTGAAATAAATCCAAGTAAAACGATACCAATTTTCGATAATTTGGAAGGAATATTATTATTTTTAATTATAAATGAATAAAATATATTTATTTATGGATTATAATATATATCAAAAATAAAATCTTTATGCAAAAAAAATTAAAAAAAAAAAAATCAGACCAGACCAGACCAGACCAGACCAGACCAAAACAGACCAGACCAGACCAGACCAGACCAAAACAGACCAGACCAGACCAGACCAGACCAAACCAGACCAGACCAGACCAGACCAGACCAGACCAGACCAGACCAGACCAGACCAGCAAATTACAGTCCAAGTAAAAACATCCTTACTTCATGAAATAGTGACAAATATGATTATGTGAAAAAGGTGAAAATCGCGACCATGATTATTCAATTTTACAATTGGGAGATCATGATGATACTACCTCCGTTCTTAAATAAGTGCAAACATACCAAATTTTACACTATTCACATGGTCTACTTTGACTACATTTTATTCATTGGGTGTATTACTATATTTTTTTGAAAAAAATATTACTAAATTTGTCTCATTGTATATTTTCAAAATCTGATTTTTTATTTTTTATACTAATAAAGAGTTATATATATTAATGGTCAAAGTTGTGTCTCGAAAAATGCGAAATGTTGACCGTTGCACTTATTTAAGAACGGATGAAGTATATTCATAGCAATTTTAGTCACATTTTTTCATCTGTTTCATTTCAGTAATATCTTGAGGAAATTCTCTTTACTTTAAGTGAACTTTTCAATGTCTAAAATTATTATATAAAAAATAATTCATTGAATGATGTCTCAAAATAATTAAATAAGGCCAGCGGTCAAAAGGTCCAATCATTACAAATTGTTGAATTGCGACTTTTATTTGGCCAATGCTTTAAAAAATCGACTTGGCTAATATTTTTTCAAGCTAGGTACACCTCTGCCCATCCTCTATCTTATGCTATGATATTTTTGGGAAAAACTTGTCAAAGCGTTAGGTTCCATTTACAACATGCTGTAAAAATTGAAAATGTATATACTACCTATATATCATTAATCGATGACCGTAGGTGTTGAATAATCCGAACAAAAACACGAGTCTTCTCTTTGCTTGCAAGGAGACGGAGGTGGAGAAGGGGATAGAAGGTTTACAAGTATATAAAGAATTATATACTGGGATTGTATTGGGTTGGGACTTGGGAGTTGGTAACAATGAAATCGGTTTAATCAGCTGATTCTACTGAAATTTATGAAGTTTTGACTGAAGTGATTGTATTAGCTGATTTGTGGGGGAAAAAATTTAAAATATACTTTTATTAATAAAATAAAGATCAAATTATATTAAAAAATAGTTACATGGTCATCCACCGTAACTTCAGTCAATACAGACAAAAAAGTAACTTCAACCTTACACAATTCAGTACACTAGATCAAAACTTACGTGTTTGGTTAAAAAGTTGATTGATAAGCCTGATAAGCTGAAAAACAGAGTTAGCAAACGGCTCTGGGTCTGGCCCGACCCAATACTACAAATAGGGATCTTGATAAATGTTCTCAAAGTTTGATTGATCTGGACCAAGACTCTGTCATCCATAGTTACTTATGCAATACAAAAGAATAAATTCCATTTTTGGTCCTACGAGTTTCAGATCAATTCCACATTTAGTCAACATCTTTCACTTTGTCCACTTTTGATACATGACTATTGTGTTTTCGCCCATATATGGTCCTTCCAGCATTATTTTCGATGGTTAAAATCTCCGGAAAAGGACCACAAACGGTTAAAAAACGTTAGTCAAGCACCAAAAGTGGATAAAGTGAAAGATGTGAACTAAAGGTGGAATTGACACAAAACTCGTAGGACCAAAAGTGGAATTAATTCCAATATAAAATAACGTAGAAGTTTGCGATTGATCAGACACTTAAATAAAGTGTCCGATGGCTGAATTTCATGAATTATTTAAATAATTATATTTTAAATATATTTTATTATTAAAATTATGAAAAAAGTATATGAAAAATAGCTAAAATGATTCTCTACAGTAACTTCAGTCAATCCAGCTAGAATGGTAACTCCAACTTTAATTTACTTATTTTGATTGTTACAAAAATTCAGCGTGCGATATCAAAAGTTACGTGTTTAGATAATAAGACTGATAAGTCAAAAAATAGGGTCACCTGACAGGCTTCAAATAGAAATCACTACCTTTGAAGGGTTCATTAAACTTCTTATTAAATTCAAAAAAATTCTAAAGGTAGTAAATGTCATAAAAATTAATGAATATGTAAAATAAAATTTGGAAGAAAACTAAAACAGTAATGAAAAATTAATTACGCGGGAGGAGTGAGTATTAGGTAAAAAGAAATGGCTAAACACTACAAAAAAACACGGGATTGGCAGGGATTTTGGCACGGGTTTTGGCAGGGATACGCTAAATCTGTGCCAAAAACACTTTGGCACGAGCTATTTGACATGAAAAATTGATAAGTCCGTGCCCAAATTCTGTGTCAATCCCGCCTTTTTTTTGTAGTGAAAACGACTATTGGCATCCTAATAGGCATATGAATATGTCACACTAATTGGCATCCTTATAGAAAAACTTATGCAATTCTACACTAATTGGCATGATCAAATTCGTATGAAACATGGAACAAATAAAAACAAAAGAATCAAAGCCTGGTAATACAAGTCAAACTGATAAAGCGAGAAAAGGGGACACGGACACACGGTATGGGAACCCATTTAGATTTCCGGGAGGCAAATTATACCGTGGGATCGTTACACAATGCGCACGGTGTACCGATCCCACTTTTTCCCGTTTCGTAACTCTTCATTTTTCTCCTAGTTGGAGTTTATTCTCATGCTGTAACTCTTATCTTTCTCTTTGCAATTAATTCTCATGCTTCCCACCTATGTAGCACCGATACCGGTACGCGGAAACGCGGAAACGCGGAAACGGGTACGGAGATACGTCAAAACCAAAAAAAGTAGGATACGGGTACGGGGCCATATTTATAAATATTAAAAGTTATGGGGGTGTATTTACAAATATTAAAAGTTATAGGGGTCTATTTATAAATAATAAAAATAGATTTTTTTGAATATATATATACATACATATAATATCCTATGATGTCTACCCATTCATTGCATTGAAACACTTTCCTTTTTCAAGATACTTAGTAATAAATTCATAATATTTCTCATATACACTAGTGTATCTCGAAATATAAATGTAGTCAATAAGTCATTAATTTAAAATGAGAAATAAGTCAAACAACTACAATCTTGAAATTAAAAGTGCAAGTACCCAATTCGGAGTATGAGTTAATGACTTAATTCGGATATAGCCATATAGGCCCATTATTTGATTACCAAGTAAAATGTAGTTTCAGATTTTCATTTTTTTTAGAATTTTATTAAGTAAATTTTGGGATTTTTTTTTTTAAAAAAGTTGATACGGGTATCCGTCAGGATACGAGTATCGGAAACTTTCAAAAAATTACAAAAAAAAATGGAAACTTTTAAAAATTGCAGATACGGCCCGGGAACGTACGGTACGGGTATCCTAGAGTATCGGATACGGGAACGTATCGGATACGCCGATACGCTACCCTAGGGAAGTATCCGTGCTTCATAGCTTCCCACTAATTGGTAAATGAATTGTCATCCTTCTCAATTCCCAGTAACCATATTTAATTATTAAAAAAGACGTTTGCTTTATTTTTCTTATTTTCATTTTTGTCTCCTTCTCTGACAAAATATTAAAATTTTAATTATATTTTTATTTTTCTTTATCTTCACCTTAAATAACAATTAATCTATTTTTTATTCTTTACCATTTCAAAACAAATAATTTATATTTTTTAAAAAAATTATGAATGTAAATAAAATAAGTATATTGCATTCATATTCATACACTATTTATTATCTATAATATATTTTATATTCATACATTTTTTAATATAATTTTTAATATTCATAAACTTTTTTCCTAAAATATTTTTTTTTGTATTCATACACTTCTCTGTATTTGATAAATTATATCTTCATATTAATTCACTTTTTTCGATTTACATTTGATAAATTATGATATTACATGTGTAAATGATTCTTAGAGTTACATTTGATATTATATAAGTTACATCTTCTTATCCACGAGTTACATTTTCTTATTCGTGAGTTACATCTTATTATATGTGAGTTACATTTTCCTATGCGAGCGTTACATTTGGATTTGCTTCAACATGTTACATTTTGCATACACCTAAGTTAGATTCTTTATCAACTCGAGTTACATTTTTGCATAACGCGAGTTACATCACAAAATAAACTCCAACTATTGAAACAAAAAATGATTTTTTGGTTAAAAAAATTATTTTTCTTTGAAACATTTTATGGCCTTAATACTAAAAACAAAACATATTAACTATTTACGCAAATTAATTTGAGCAATTAGACTCCTTGTCTTCATTAATTAGCTTTGATAGTATATGGAGTTACATCTTCATATACTCGAGTTACATCTTTTTTATGCGGGAGTTACATCTTCATACCCGCGAGTTGCATTTAGACTTGTCTTAACAAGTTACATTTTGTATACACCTAAGGTAAATTTTTCATCAATGCGAGTTAAATTTTCCATCACAATATAAAGCTCTGCTATTGAAACAAAAGAATGGTTTTTTTTCAAAGATTTTTTTTGGCAAATAATGATTGCTTTGCCAAAAAAAAGTGATTTCAAAAAAATATTTTTATGACCTTAATATTAAAAACACATCATATTCACTTCTAAACTCCTGCTATTGAAACAAACAAAAAATCACTTTTTGCAAAAGAAAAATGTTTTTTTTTTGCAAAAAAATG